CGCGCGCACACCGAACCATCTAGATAGACAGTGGCGGCTTCATCAGCCCGGGCCGCGCGGGCGATAAGCAAAGGTCAGCGCCCCGCGTCGCCGGGCGCGCGGGCTGCGCTCCGAGCTCGGCCCCCCCCCTCTGGCCGACACCTGTTCCTGGGGACGTGCACACGGCCCCACGGGGCGCGCGCACACCGAACCATCTAGATAGACAGTGGAATGCGAGCTTCTTAGTCGCTCCTGCTGGGGCTTGAACTCGGGGCCTGGCTCTGTCCCTGGCCAGCTCCTGTGCTCCAGGTGAGCGCGCTACCCCTTGCGCCACTTCCGGTTTTCTGGCGGTTCATTGGAGATGAGAGTCTCACGGACTTTCCTGTCTGGGCTGGCTTTGCACCTCGATCCTCAGATCTCAGCCTCCTGAGTAGCTGGGATGACAGGTGGGAGCCACCGGCCCGGCCGCCAGGCCTTTTAAATAACAGGGGGAAAAAGGTAACGGGGAAAGACACCCCCCCCCACCGTGAGGAACCAAGTATCCAAGTGTTGGGGAGGCCTGAGGCCTCCAGCTCCAGTTGGAGCTTTGCGATTGGCCTGTGGTGGTGGTGCTTGTCCCTTTGGATTCTGACATTGTGAGGACGTGTGGAGCTGACAGCTGCTCTTCCCACAGGCCGAGGACATGACTAAGTATGTGAGGGGATGAATATGCTAATTCCTGTTCCTCTATAGTAACCATTTTACTCTAGTGTATATGTATTTCAGAACATGATGTTGTCTACCTCAACCTCACAAGCTCTGTCAATGCCCATCAGAGGCCCAGTTGCTCTGGAGGCTGAGATAGGGTGACCATTGAACCCAGGAGTTCGAAGCTAGCCTGGGTTATAGGTTATATAGGCTAACACCTATAATCCTAGAAAACTAGGAAGCTGAGATCCAGAGGCTCAAGGTTCAAAACCAGCCTGGGCAGAAAAATCTGTGAGACACTTATCTCCAAAAATAGCTAGGAAAAAGCCAGGATGAAGATATGACTCAAGTGGTAGAGCATCAGCCAAGCAAGTGAAGCGAGAGCTAGAGGTTCTGAGTTCAAACTCCAGCAGAAAGAAGGGAGGGGGAGGCTAAGTAGGCTATCTGGGTAAAAATAAGAGGTGAAGGAAAAAGGAAAGGTGCATTTTAGCATCCAAAGATGAGCTAGACAGGTAATTCTACAGAAATCCTCCCGAAGGATCAAGTAGAACAGCACCCCACATAGAAGAGGGGAAATGGCTCCCCAGTTGAGGCACAGGCTAGGGGTGTTCTGGCCAGGCAGCTGGTCTCCCATCTGGGGACTTACCAGGCCTGAATGTGACCTCCACAGCAAGGAAAGCAGACTGTCTGCGTCACCCAGATGAACCCCAGCCCTGACAAGTCCCTTTCTGGAAGTCAGGAAGTGCCCTAGAATAAATAATAGCAAGCCAGGCTCTGGTGGTTCACACCCCTAATCTCAGGAAGCTGAGATCTGAGGATGTCAGTTCAAAGCCAACCCAGGCAGGAAAGCTCATGAGACCCTTAGCTCCGATGAAGCACCAAAATAGTTGGAAGTGGAGTTGTGGCTCAAATGGTAGAGCACTAGCCTTGGGCAAAAAACCTCAAGGACAGCCTCAAGGCCTTGATTTCAAACCCCTGAGTGCGCGCACACACACACACACACACATCAAGTTCCATTAGGTATGAAACATGGCATTGTGATTACACAGGAAAGTGTGCTGATTGGTTTCTCAGAGATGCACCTTGCAGTATTTAGAAATACCAATGTCTTGCCAGGCATGGTGGCACATGTCTGTAATCCCAGCTACCCTGGAGAGGAGTGTGATCAGAAGGATCACGATTTACAACCACTCTGGACAGAAAAGTTTACAAGACACTTTCTCAAGAAACTCATATGTACTGGTCATCCCAGCTCCAATGGGAAGCCAAACACACACACACACACACACACACACACACACACACAGAGCAACAACAGGAACTTTGGTGTGAACTACATCTCTGCCCCTTCCTGCTTTGTGTGCGTCTCCGGTGTGGTGACTTGGGCTCTCTGTGCTGTGGTTTCCTCCACTGCATAACGACGGGTCAGTGAGTGTGCCAGCACCAAGTTTCTCGTGTCTTAAATGTCATGTCTTCTAGGCACATTCTCATTGGATTCGAACTCTGTCCCTTTGTCCTTTTCTGGCCCTTCAGTGCGAGTCACCAATGAAGGGCAATGTTCCAGCAGTCAGGGGTCACATCTGATTGTACTGCTTCCAAAGGACTGATGACAAAGCCGCTGGTCCCCCGGGAAGCCTCTGCCCTTTCCCGTCATCCCCAGTGGGAGCTGGGGATCAGCAAGTGCATACAGGTCTCTTGACCTCACAGAGAAGCAGAAATCGGGGCTCGACTTCACTGGGCTTTAGTCCTGTTCCTGTGTGAGCTTGGACAATAACCTGAACCCCTCTGGGTCCAAAAGAAGGTCGAGAGAAGAATATCTGTAGCCGGGCCAGACGCTGGTGGCTCACGCCTGTCATCCTAGCTTTGACTCAGGAGGCTGAGATCTGAGAATCACAGCTCAAAGCCAGCCCGGGCAGGAAAGTCTGTGAGACTCTTATCTCCAATGAACCACCAGAAAACTGGAAGTGGCGCTGTGATTCAAGTAGTAGAGTGCTCATCTTGAGCTGAAGAGCTGAGGGACAGCCCAGGCCCAGAGTTCAAGGCCCACAAGTATATCAGCTTCCCTCAGGGCTGCCTGGAGACCTTGATAACTTGTGTGTTTGTTTTGCTGGTCCTGAGGCTTGAACTCGGCCTGGGCGCTGTCCCTGAGCTGCTTTTGTTCAAGGCTAGCGGCTCTACCACTTGAGCCACAGCGCCACTTCCGGCTTTTTCTGTGTATGTGGTACTCAGCAATCGAACCCAGGGCTTCGTGTATGCTAGGCAAGCACTCTACCACTGCGCCACCTTCCCAGCCTTGTCCCTGAACTCTTTTCCTCAAGGCTAGTGCTCTAACCCTTGAGCCACAGCTCAACTTCCGGCTTCTTGGTGGTTGATTGGAGATAAGAGTCTCAAGAACTTTTCTGCCCAGGCTGGCTCCGAACCTTGATCCTCAGAGCCCATTCTCCTAAGTAATTAGGGTGACAAGTGTCAGCCACCGGCACATGACCCTTTTCTTTTTGTCCTCTTTCTGGGGCTTGAACTCAGGGGCTAGACCCTGTCCCAGCTCAAGGCTGGTGCTCTACCACTTGGACCATGCTTCTAGCTAATTGAGAATGGAGTCTCACAGATTTTCCTGACCAGGCTGGCTTTGACTAGCAAGCCTCTAGTTCTCAGCCTCCTGAGTGGCTAAGATTATAGGTATGAGCTACGGTGCCCAGCTCTGGTGTACTTTGAAGACAGGATGTTGCACGGCCCAAATTGATTCACTGTGGACTCCTGGGCTCAACAGATCCCTTGGGTCTGTAGCTGGGATTACAGGTGTGCATCGCGACACCCAGATGGGGTACCTGTGTCTTCCAGAGGCCTGGCTGTGCCCTCTCAAGCTTCTGGTGTCTGTGCTCTTGGTGCAGAATATAAATGAGGGATTTGTGGCCTCCTTGTGTGGAAGGTGACAGAGCGCTGAGTCCTGACCTGCCGTCCCCGGCGAAAGGTTATCTCTTGATGGAAGACTGTGAAAGGTCGGGTTGCGGAGGAGTCATACCCGTCTCCCTTCTGTTGGGGTTGATAAGAGAGGTCACAGTCTTCCTTCAGGCAGGGTGGGGGGAGCCATGAGGTATAAATGGGGGACCTGAAAGCTGGGGCATGCTGAGCCACCTTCCCGCCCAAGGCGTCTCTGTGCAACATGGCCAAGTGCCCGCTGCTGCTGCTGCTGCTGCTGCTGCTGGGCTGGGTGCTGGCCGGGGACCTGGCGCGGGGGGCCGAGGCTCGAGCGGCGCCCTATGGGGTGAAACTCTGTGGCCGAGAATTCATCCGAGCTGTCATCTTTACCTGTGGGGGTTCCCGGTGGAGGCGCGGGGACTTCCTGACCCATGACTTGCTGGGTGAGCCTTGGGGGGTGGGGGGCCTGGCATACCTACCTGTGGGTCCCTGGAGTCGGGGACAGGGGCTCAGGGAGGGGACGGAGAGGTAGCGTGTCTGCCCACCACCTTCATGGCTGCTGAGCTGCCAGATTCCAAAATGGAAAAACTGACTTCTTTGGCTCATGCCTGTAAAATCCTAGCTACTGGAGAGACTGAGATCTAGGGATCAAGGTTCGAAGCCAGCCCGGGCAGGGAAGTCTGTGAGACACATTTTTTATTTGTATTTTTGGTAGGTCATGGGGCTTGAACTGTAGGCCTGGGCGCTGTCCCTCAGCTCTTCAGTTCAAGGCGAGCGTTCTACCACTTGAGCCACAGCGCCACTTCTGGTTTTCTGGTGGTTCATTGGAGATCAGAGTCTCAGGAGTCTGAGCTCCTCAGATCTCAGCCTCCTGAGTAGCTGACAGGTGTAAGCCACCAGCACCTGGCTTGAGATTATGTCCAGCAAAAAGCCAGAAGGGGAGCTGTGGCTTGAGTGGTAAAAAGCTAATGGGTAGCACCTATGCCCTGAGCTCAAGTCCCAGCACTGACACACACACACACACACACACACACACACACACACACACACACGGAGGTAGAATGAAGGCAGGATTTGGACAGCTGGTGTGCGATCTCCCTGACATCAGACTTCCCCTCAATGAGCCACACATCCGCCCTGTGGTGAGCACTGCAGGGTACACCAATGCACCCGTGAAGTCTCAACAGATACAGCTGTGGTCCAGAGGGACCACTGATAGGGGAGGGCAGGAAATGGACTTTCCCTGGAGGAGGAGGCCTGGGAAAAGAATACTCACCATGAAGATGATGATGGAGAGATGGCAGAGATGGAGGAAGGAAAGATGGGGGGATGGAGGGATGGAGGAAAGACTATGGAAGATGGACGAAGAGGGATGGATGGATGGATGGATGGGTGGATGGAGGACGCTGGCTGGCTGGAAGGTGGATGCATGGTGGATGGGTAAGTGGACATGAAAGATTCGGAAAGCTGCAGCCTTGGCTATGTGCTCCCCGCGCTTCCCTCGGGAGCCACGCCCCTCTTTGGTAAGTAGGTGACCGGTGAACAGCAGGTGCTGGGGTGGTCCTTGGGAGAAGGGACATCATTTGTGCATGTAAAATAGCACTTGGCAAACCGTAAGAATTCAACAGCCATGATCACTGTATGTGCGCACGCGCGCGCGTGTGTGTGCGTGTGCGCGCCATCCTAGGGTTTGAACTGACATCCTGCGTGCTGGCTCTGCGGTTTTTCTTTTGTTTGCTCATGGTGGGCCTTTACCGCTTGAGCCCCAGCAACCCTGAGCAGAATTCACTCCTGGAGTTCACAAGACAGACAGATCCCCTTGTGGGCTGGGGACGGTCTCCTGGGGCCGAGCCCAGGGAACCCCTAGCCCTGTGGTTCTTCTTTGCTTGGCAGGAGAGGTGTTCTCAGACGCAGACTCGGGAGCAGAGAGCCTGGCGGGCGAGAGGGACGAGGCCGTGGGCTCCAGCGAATGGCTGTCCCTCACCAAGCCCCACCAGGCCTTTGATGAAGGCCGGCCGAGCTGGCAGGGCCCCCCCGGGGCCCCGCGGGGGGGCCGGGATGTCCTGACCGGCCTCTCCAGCAACTGTTGCAAGTGGGGCTGCAGCAAAGGTGACATCAGCAGCCTCTGCTAGGCGGGGGTGCGGGCACCCCCCATGCACAGGACTCCATCCACAATGGCAGGTCCAGGAGCTCTGGGCTGGGGGGGGTCATTCCCCCTGAACTGATCCCTGACCAGCCTGGCCTGACCCTGGGCCCCAAGATCCCAGCCTGACCCACCAGGGCCCCCCCACACCTGCGGGGTACATCTGTGTCCCGACTCTTCCCAAATTAGCCACCTCCAGACCTACTGCCTCTCTACCCCCCCCCATTATGGATTATGGTCACTTTCCCTTGGCCAGCCCTAATGACATCCATTTCCCCCTCCACACCCCACCCCACCCCCCGCTGGGCACCCGAAGAACAGCACCAGAGTCCCCGTACCCCATTTCCCTGAACCCCAATAATAAAAGTTACTTGCAGAGCAAGTTGTGTGTCATTGGGCCGAGTGAGCAGGGGAAGGGGAAGATCTTGGGGGGCGGGGTGCATGCCCCCATCGACGCTCTCTGGCTGCCTCTGCACCCCTCCCCAGCCGTGAGCTGTGATGGGGTTTCCCCGCTGGGGAAGGGGCGGGGACGCGGGGGGGGCGGAGGCGGCTGCGCTTCCCGTCCCGCCTCCCCTGGGTCGGGGACTCGCGCGCTCCAGGGGCCACGCCACGCCGGGCGGAGCCGCACGGGGTCCCCAGGGAGCCATGCGGGGGACCCCTGCCGTCCCCTTCTGGCCGTGGCCGAAGCTGGCGCTGCTGCCGGTGGCGGTTTTTGTGCTGTGCCGAGGGACGCGGCCCCAGGGTGAGTGGTGACACTTGGGTGGCACTTGGCGAGGCGCGTGCGCGCTGGCGCCCGGGAGCCGGGAGCGGGGCGCAGGGCGCGGCGCGGGGCGCCCGGGCGGGGGTGCACCCTCGGGGCGATAACAGGATGTGGCTGGCAGAAGAGAAGATGACTCGTTTTACCCGCCCCCCCCTCCGCCAGCCTGGAGCTGGACCCGGGAGCCCGGCACCCCCTTCCTGCTCCTCATTTCTTTCAGGGAACCCCCCCAGCGTGCCGGCAATCGTTAGAAGCCCGGGAAAGTGGAAGTGGGGTGGGGATGCGATTCGGGGGTACGATGCTTGCCTGTCTGGGCCAGGCCTGTGCTTCCAGCCCTCAGCTTAGGAAAGTTGGGGTGCACAGGTGGCGGTGGGGGGAAGGGTGTGAGCCCCTTGCTTGGGCCCCTCTGCAGGCAGGACGGGGCCCCTGCAGTGTTACACAGTTGGCCCCTCGGGGGACCTGCACTGCTCCTGGGAGCCTCATGGGGACCTGGGGAGCCCTTCTGCGCTTCACCTCCAGAGCCAGAAATAGTGAGTACTCCTGGGGTGTTTGGGGGAAACTGAGGCACCTGAGTTCCAGTTTGCCCTAGGTCCTGCTTCTCCCCCTCCCCGCTTCCTCAAGTCCAACTCCCCTACTCTAGGTTCCCCTCCTTTCCTCCCTGTCCCCCTCACCCACCCCTGTTTTTATGACAGTTGTGGGGCTTGAACTCTGTCTCTCAGCTCTTCGGCTCAAAGCGAGCGCTCTACCACTTGAGCCACAGCGCCACTGCCAGTTCACTTGTGGCTTTATTGGAGATAAGAATCTCACGGATTGGGCTGGGAAGGTGGCTCAGTGGTAGAGCGCTTGCCTTGCATGCCTGAGGCCCTGGATTCCATTCCTCAGCACCACATAAGCAAAAAGAAAAAAAAGCCGGAAGTGGCACTGTAGCTCAAGAGGTAGAGCACTAGCCTTGAGCTGAAGAGCTGAGGGACAGCGCCCAGGCCCAGAGTTCAGGCCCCACAACCGGACCAAAAAAAAACAAAAAAAAGAATCTCACGGATTTTTCCTGCCAGGCTGGCTTTGAACCACGATCCTCACATCTCAGCTTCCTGAGTAGCTGGGATGACAGGTGTGAGCTACAGGCACCTGTGTGTGTGCCCCTCTTAATCTACAATCTTGGAGGGGTGAACTCTTGCACACCTGGTACCCTAGCGCACTGGAGGCTGGGACAAGAGATTGCCAGTTCAAAGTCAGTCTGGAGCTAAGGAGCAAGACCCGGTCTCCAAATAAATACATTGCACAAATAACAGTATTTAGTTTTAGGGTTCGTTCTGGGGGTTCAAGCACTTAAGGACATGACAAGAAAGAAATGTTTAAGAATATGAAGTGAGCCAGGTGCGGTGGCTCCTGCCTGTCATCCCGGCTACTCAGGAGGCTGAGATCTGAGGATCACAGTTCAAAGCCAGCCCAGGTAGTACTTTTTTTTTTTTTTGCCAGTCATGGTGCCTGAACTCTGGGCCTGGGCACTGTCCTTCAGCTCTTCAGCTCAAGGCTAGCGCTCTACCACTTAAGCCACAGCACCACTTCCAGCTTTTTTTTTTTTTTTGCTTATGTGGTGCTGAGGAATCGAACCCAGGGCCTCGTGCATGCAAGGCAAGCACTCTACCACTGAGCCACCTTCCCAGCCCCAGTCCAGGAGACTTTTATCTCCAATTAACTAGCCGGAAATGGCACCATGCCTCCAAGTGGTAGAGCACCAGCCCTGAGTGAAAATTAAAAACAAAACCAAAAACTGAGGGAGAGTGGCCAGCCTCGGGGGGCTTCGCGCCCCAACAGTGCAGGCCTCCGGTGGGTGCGTGTGCTTGTCATGCGTGTCATGCGCCTTGGCCCAGGCCGGCGTGGGTCCTTCTCTTGCATCCGTCCCCACAGCCATTCTCACAGAACCCGGAAGGTGGCAGTCCCCGCTGGGCAGCACTGGGTGACCATTCCCCGGGGACACCTCACCACGGCCGACAGACTCCTCGTCTGGGGAACCCAGGCAGACCGACCTCTCTGGCCCCAAGTCTCCGTGAACCTAGAAACACAAAGTAATGTGCCAGGAAGTTTGGGGTGCTGTGGGACGTGGTCCTGGGGGATCCCCTTCCCCCTCCTCAGTGTGCCCTGGCCCACTCTCCCGCAGTGAGACCCGATGCCCTCCGCCTCCAGCCCGATGTGGAGTTTTCAGAGCACCCACCCCTGGAGGCCTCTCTGCAGTGGGCACCCCCGCGGTGGCCCCCCCACAAGCCTCTCACCTGCCAGTTCCGCTACCGGAGATGTCAGGAGGCCAACTGGACCCTGGTGAGTGTCAGCAGCAAGACACACACACACACACACACACACACACACACACACTCGTCTCATCCCAAGCAAGGCTGGGCTCGCAAGCTGATGAGTCTCTTTGCTCACACCTGTAATCCCAGCTCCTCAGGTGGCTGAGCTATGCGTGAGGATCCTGGTTCAAAGCCAGCTGGGGTAGGAAAGTCTCAAAGATTCTTTTTTTTTTTTTGGTTGGTCATGGGTCTTGAACTCTGGGCCTGGGCGCTGTCCCTCAGCTCTTCGGCTCAAGGCTAGCGCTCTACCACTTGAGCCCCAGCGCCACTTCCGGCTTTTTCTGCTTATGTGGTGCTGAGGAATCGAACCCAGGGCCTCATGCATGTGAGGCAAGCGCTCTACCACTGAGCCACCTTCCCAGACCTCCAAGACTCTTATCTCCCACGGATTAGCAAGAAAAAAAGCAGAAAGTCGAGCTGTGGCTCAAGTGGTAGAGCGCCAGCTTTGAGAGAGCTCCAGGACAGCGCCCAGGCCCAGAGTTCAAGCCCCAGGACCGACAACAAATAAAATTAAAAAAATAAAGTTTCCCTTAGCCCCACCCCTCCCATCTTGTCTCTCAGCTGCAGCCTGAACTAAAGACCATTCCCATGAGCCCTGTTGAGATTCAGGATCTTGAACCTGCCACCAGCTACAATGTGTCTGGCCGCTGCCGAGTGGAGGAAGCGGAAGATCTGTGGGGCGAATGGAGCCCCGCCCTCTCCTTCCAGACCCCGCCCTCTGGTGAGCCCTGCCCCGCCCTCTTGGAAGCCCTGCCCACATCTCCACCCTCTGGGGACGCCCCGCCCTCGCCCCGCCCCTCCTGGAAAACCTGGCCAATCACGGCTTCTCTCATCTGCTCCTTCCTCTCCCCGGGTCTCCTAGGGCCCGATGATGTGTGGGTATCAGGGAACTTCTGCCAGACTTGGGGTGCCCAGGAGGAGCTCCTGCTTCTGTGGAAGGTAAACTGGAAAAACCCCAAGTAACAATGCTAGAAATAAGACAGTTCCAGGCGCAGGTGGCTCCCGCCTGCCATCCCAGCCACTCAGGATGCCGAGGTCTGAGGATCGCAGTTCCAAGCCAGTCCAGGCGGGAAAATCTGGGACACGCTTATATCCTTCTTGTTTATTTATTTATCAATGTATCTACTTAATGCTGTGATCCTGTGATCCCATCCAGATCATTGTATATAATCAACAACAGCCCTACCACTGAGAAACATCTCCTGCTTCCTTGTTTATTTAATACGTTAATAAATGTTATGGGAGGAAAAAAAAATGAAGCCAGGCACTGATGGCTCATGCTTGTAATCCTAGCTACTCTGGTGACTAAGATCTGAGGATCAAGGTTCAAAGCCACCCCGGGCAAGAAAGTCCGAGAAACCCTTATCTCCAATGAACTACTAGAAAACCAGAAGTGGAGCTGTAGCTCAAAGTCGTAGAGCCAAAGAGCTCAGGGGACAGCACCCATGGCCTGAGACCAAGCCCATGACCGAGGGGGAGGGGAAGGGAGGGAAGGAAGGAGGCAGGAGGGAGGGAGGGAAGGACAGGTTTGAACCAGGATCCTCAGATCTCAGCCTTCTGAGTAGTCAGGATTACAGGCTGGAGCCATCGATGCCTAGCTTAGTGTTCTAATTATAGCATTAGGTAGAAAAGGAAAAACGATTTGCTATATAAGGACAAAAGATTCAGTTCCCAGGATGACACAAGAGTCATAAATCTGTATGCACCCAATAACATGGCTTCAAACTCATAAAGCAAAACATCCGCAGCACTTCAGGAGAGAACCCTGAATCCATAAACATGGTGAGGGCTTTTAACACAGAACTCTCTCTCTCTCTCTCTCTCTCTCTCACCTCTTCCTCCTCCTCCTCCTCCTTCTTCTTCTGTCTTGGGGCTTGAACTCTG